AGTTGCTAAATGAGCAGTGACTTGTTCTGGTGTGGTAATCACTTCAATTTGCAACTTTTCCAAGTCTTTGATCAACTCCATCCAAATAGTAGGTAATGATGCCAATTGTCCCCTCGACTTTCTGCTTAGAGCATCAGCAACAACATTAGCCTTACCCGAATGATAATGAATAGTGCAATCATAATCTTTCACTAGCTCCAACTATCGTCTCTGTCTCATATTCAATTCCTTCTGTGTGAAGAAATATTTGAGACTCTTATACCTGTTATTATGTTTGAGTTTCCCTCTACATCTTTTTGAGTCAATGTAAAAACTCGTGCTTTTCCCTTCTTGTTCTGATCATTGTTATCATCCTTCCTTTGAGCAAATGTGGGACAGTCCCTAGCAATGTGTCTTGATTTGCCACACCGAAAATGGGCATTCTTCCCATACAAGCATTCACCACGATGAGGCTTACCACACTTAGGGCATTGCGCTACTGCACCTACCATGGCCTTACTGGTGCTAGATCTGATATTAACTTTCTTATTTTGCCATTTGCCCTTTCCTTTGTCTTGACCATTCCATTTCTCTTTCCAATTTACCCTTTATCCTGCTTATTGTACAATTGACGATGTTGCTCTGCATTAGCCTTTTGATACCAGAGCGTAAGCTTGTTCCAGCATCTCACGGTACGACGTGAAGCGATGTGACATAAGGATCATACTTAGGTCTGGGTTTAACCCTTGCTCAAACCTTTGAGTTTTCTTAATTTTCGTGTCAACCAGATGTGGAGCATACCTTGAGAGTTGATCGAACTTCCACTCGTAATCCGTTAGGGACATATTACCCTGCTTGAGTTGAAGGAATTCGTTCTCCTTGAAATCCCTTAGAGATTGAAGAAAATATTTGTCCCTTACTTCCTCCTTGAAATGTTCCCAAGTTATTGCCAATTGCTGCTCCGGAGTCCTAGTTCGGGACATCAAATCCCACCAGTGACTTGCATCACCAGTAAACATAAACTCCGCACATTGAACCCTTTGGGCATCAGTGCAGTCTATGAGCCGAAAAATTCGTTCTAGCTTACGAAGCCATTCCTCAACTACTAGTGGACCAAATGCTCCATCGAAGGTAGGGGGTTTATACCTTTGAAATAACTGAACTACCGAGGCGTGAGTCGGAAGAGTAATAGGAGCTGGTGGTGTAGGTGGAGTTAGGTTCTGATTCAGCCTGCCAAGATCTTGAACCAGATTTGATTTTTTTTTTGTTAAAAGTACTCCTTGAAATCAGGATATACAATAGTTCGACGACCTTTACTTCCATAACATTAAGGAAAAGATAGCACAAGGAAAGGAAATCTAATTTCTAATCCCTATGAATCTTGCAAATCTTCTTTGGTGGAGCTTCATCTACGAAGGAGTCTTCTGCCTCAGGCCCCGACTCTAGGTCCATCTCAACCTGTGGCTCATGCTCATGTTCATTCTCTAATTCCAACCCAAAGTCATTCTCATGCTCCCATTCGAGATCTTCCTCTGGGCCCGATTCAAACTGAGGTTTTGGCACGGGCTTAGGCTTGGGCTCGGGGTCAGGTTCAACCTCATTATTGGGCTCAATTACTATCTCCGGTTGGGGTTCTAAACCCTCACTCCATCTGTCTAGAAAGGTCTGACAATATATACCAAATTCAAATGTATTTGGGTGCTCTGGATGGTTACCCTCTAGCATCTCATCCCTAACAATGACTCCCATGTTTCCCCACTGAGGTGGAAGTGAATGTATAAGGTTATTCACAGCCTCAATATGCGTGATCTTCAGTCCCGACATCTACAGCTGCAATACATCTCTCGTAGATGTCATGTACATATTCAACAAGTGGACGAGATAGGTCCGTCGCATAGTTCTCATAGGACATGATGATGGCTTCGACCCGCATGGACGAAAACGTCACTCAAACCATTGTACCTTAGCGTTAACGTTAGTTCAATATATTTTTAGTAGAATGTATAAAGATTAAATTTTAGAATTTAATTAAAGAATTTTCTTTTTTTATTTAAACAATAATCCAATTCTAAAAGAAAACAATTTCAAAAATGTTTTAGAATGGGTTCCATGCATGTAACAACTATTGACGTGAAATTTTGGCAAAACTTAAAAAGTAATGTTGCTGTTCCAATTTTTTTTTTTTTTTGTTTCAAAAAGAAATTGTCAAAATAAATTTGTTTTCATAGCTATCGACCTTGAAACTTCATCAAATTTTAATGTAAGGTAGTAAACTCCTTATAATATGACATAGTCAAAAATTAGCTTCCGTCGACATCATATGGGATATTAAAATATTTTTCAAAACTCAGCAGCGACCCGATTAAAAGGTAAACCGGTGCAGTTCACTTAAAATGACATATAAAATTCCACCGACGTCAAAATCACATGATTTTAAATTTATTTAGTAGCTAATCCATGAGACTATCAAATCCAATTGGTTTCATCCAAAAATTCCAAGTAACAAGTGAGTTATGAATTTTTTGAAAACAAGGGTAGAAGCTGAAAAACAGAGACAGCACCCAGCACAGTTTACTTTATGTGATATATAATCTTTTATCGATATTGGATTGACATGATTCCAATTTTATTCAGTATCTAACTTATTATCCTATCCAATCCAATTGGTTTCGTATAAAAAAACCAAGTAAGGAAAGAGTTATGATTTTTTTTAAAGATGAGGCAGAAACTGAAATTTCTGAAGAGACATTAAAATTTCAAGTCGCTAACTTTTTTTTTTTATACGGTGATTTGTAAATTCATTCCTATGACACATATCTACTTTCAAGCATAATTTATTCATAAGGAGTGTTCGTAAAATAGATCCACACAATATTCATAGGAATCAAATTTAAAGAAAGTGTAAATATCTCAAAATCAACTAAAGATGTAAATTACCGGCTTCTCCATGACATGTTGCATCATCCTTTACCATCATTTACGCTCCAAGGAAAATACATTCAACCTATAGGAAGGGAATTAACCCACGAATTTGAAACTCAATAGTTATCATCGGTGCAATTCGTTATCAAATTAGAAATTTCGAGCTATAGATTCATACCGTCGTACGTAGATGGATTTCTAGCAAAATCCAATTACTATAGCATTATCATAACATGTAGAGCCGTAGAATGATCATTCAAATTGTTGTAGTGTCGAAGCACCGTATCCGAAGGTACCATTTCATTTAAACATTTATCGAAAAATCAGATTTGAAAACGAATGAACACTTGCACCTTAACCTACCTTGAATTTTCTTGGATAAAAGAACAAAATGTATAGAAAGCCTTCCTTCTTCTCGCCCATTCCTTAAGCTTAACTTGATATGAAATATATTTTTTTGAGAGAAAATGAGATGAAATTCGGATTTGAAGAGGAGTGTAGTGAAAAAGCGACCTTCCACTTCTATAACCTTTTTGTTTAATGAAAATTAAGTGGGGGAGTTGTATTATCATTAAATTTATTAAATTTAGTCTTTAACTAAGAATTTGAAGAGTCTCTAAGCCATAAAAATAATTTATATGAAAGTTTTATAAAAAAAAATCTACATGGTGATTCGAACCTGGGTTGCCTATATGAAATACCATGTAGATGACCATTGGGGCAACCCAATTATTCATTAAATCTTTGTAATCAATTTTACTTAAACTTAATCTCTTAAATTGCTGGGCTTTTAATTAACTTATGACTTGGGCTTTCATAATCTTACATGGGTTGAGCTTCCATAGGTCGTTTCTAAAATGGGTTAGGCTCGTGGTGCTAGATCATCACAAAATAATAGCATAATTTCATTTTATTTTTTCTTGGCTACTACATTTTATATACTAATAGTGGTCAAATTGGGGTATTACCAAATCATGCCCCTATTGCTACGGATGTAGATATAGGGATTTTGAGAATATGCTTTAAGGACCAATGGTTAACGATGGCTCTGATGGGTGGTTTTGCTAGAATAGGAAATAATGAGATCATTATTTTAGTAAATGATGCAAAAAAGGGTAGTGACATTGATCCACAAGAAGCTCAGAAAACTCTTGAAATAGCTGAAGCTAATTTGAGAAAAGCTAAAGGAAAGCGACAAATAATTGAGGCAAATCTAGCTCTCCGACGAGCTAGGACTGTCAATGTGATTTCCTAACTAGTTGGTGTGTTCAAATAATCAAAAGAAGTTTTGTTTCTAAGCCTATTTTGATAGGATTCTGTCGAGTGAATCCAATCAAGCAGAATCCTATTTTGCTACAATGAAAATAAAATAAATAAAAAAGATACAAACAAAAAACTTATTAGGTACCATTGACTCCGGTATCTAATAATAAGTTCTACCTACTATTCGATTTGGACCAATGACTCCTGTTGTATGAAAGCAATACTCTAAGCACTGAGTTAAGTTGGCCATTTATCATCCCAAAGCCATCGATGGATTATAAATATCATATTATTTATGAGCAATACTAATACAAGCAATACCACTCAAAAAAGGAGGATGCTCTCATCTTGACAAGAAATTATCTACATGATAAAATATGTATCACAAGCACTAAGGGCTATAACTCAGTTGGTAGAGCACCTCATTTACTCGCGCGCCAATGTTTTTCAGGGGGTCCATCATACAATAAAAAAATGCATCTTATTGAGAAATCGATGTCTTATTCCATAACTGTGAGGGAACAGTAGTCTAACAAATGGTTCAGTCCGACTTTGGTGCCCATTTAGGTACCAAACAAACCCCATACATTGATTTGAGATATTGATAAGGTCAATACCAGTCCATTCAATGCTAGGTATAATGAGTATAAGGTCCTCAAAAAATCTCTTTTCGTCCTATGAACTTTAAGGTGTATGAAGTTTCATATTTTATTTTTTAAGCCGAACGATAGAGACTTCATTTAACTTAGGTTGATCTAGGCCAGAGGCAGACCTACGTCAAGATAACCCCACCTTCAAAACACTTTGGTAGTGCTCTTGGATCAGAATCCTAGATAATGAATCAGAGCGCATGGAGCCATCTCCTTAATCTTTTTTTGAAAAATATGGCAGACCGACTGATATTTCTATCAGTTAATGAAAGAGCCCAAGGCAAAAAAAAAATGCATGTTGGGCCTTTGAAACAGTTCAGATCATTTTGATAATAATAAGTTTGATCTATTTTACCGAGAAGGTCTATGGTTCGAGTCCATATAGCCCTAGAGCCCTACAAAATAAAATGAAAATGAAAAATAGAAAATACTCTAATTTTCATTTCTTCATTATTGTTTGTTGCTTGTAACTGACCGGTTGGGTTGGTTCATCGAAATCAAAATTAATCTTATAAACTCACTCACGGGAATCGTTTAAAACATAACAGAAAACTGAAAGAAAAAGGGATCAAATCGATATTTATCCAATCGTGGATAAACAAACCAACCTTTCGTTATTAATCTTCGGAAGTAAATTCCATATGAATTTACTTGTCCACAATCAAGGGGTTAAGTTAGTGATACTCCTTTTGTTTGGTATACCTAATCCTAATGAATTTAGAAAGTCAAAATAATGACATGAAACCGGTTAAAAACTTCAAAGAGTAATTCAAATAGATCTAGGGAATGACCTGCTCTATTTGTGGACAAGCCAAAGTTTGTTGAGAAACGAATCTCTTTTTTAAGTTTCATTGTCAACAATGTCAAATAGCCTTTTTTTTCATATACACCTTACCTAGAAATTAAGAGAAATCCCTCTAATAAAAAAGAAAAGAAAAGAAAAGGAATATACCAATACTAAAATACTAGAAATCAAAATACCTATCCATTCTCTTACATTTGAATACTTGTTCAATTCGAAATCACTAAGAAAAAAATGACAAACTCCATATTCTATTCCTAAAAAAAAAATAAAAAAAAAAAGAAATCTCTAAAGAATTTAGAATAATATATATTTTTTAAAAAAATAATAAGTTAGAAATTCTAAACACAAAATAAAAATTCTATCTTCTTTTTATTTGGAACTAGGTTTCTTTAGCAAGAATCCTAGGTGAAAACAAGAGAATTTGTATAAAAGGATTAGTTAGAGTTATACTAACTAAATAAAATAGAAATAAATAGAAATAAAAATAAGTAGACTGGAAATAGGATTCCAGTCAAGTCAGTCAATGAATCTTGAAATGAGATATGCCCCGCAATAAATAAAGGAAACTAGATGGTTTGGTCAAAATGAATTCTTGTTTTGACTAAACAGTTATGGATGACTTGACAATTTCAATTCGAATCGACCCATCCTGTATATTTTCCACATTCATAGGAGTGCGTCTACTTTTTTGCTTTACGAATATGATATTTTTTGGGCATTTCTAATAATATCAAGTCTTATTCCTATTTTTGGCATTTTTCATTTTCAGGATTCTAGCCCCGATTAGGAGAGGGTCGGAGAAACTCCTAGACCAATGGGCGACGCTTGGTTACAATTTCGAATCCATTATTATATGTTTGCTCTCGGTTTTGTTGTTTTTGATGTTGAAATGGTTTTTCTTTATCCATGAGCCATTTTCGATGTATTAGGTGTATCTGCATTTATAGAAGCTTTAATTTGTGTGCTCATCTTAATTGTTGGTTTAGTTTATGCATGGTGAAAGGGGGCATTGGAATGATCTTAGCTCCTGAATATATAGAAAATAAAAAGAAAAGGAAAAAAAAAGGTTGAAAAAGTTATGAATTCCATTGAGTTTCCTTTACTTGATCAAACAGTCCAAAATTCAGTTATTTCAACTAAATTAAATGATCTTTCAAATTGGTCAAGGCTCTCTAGTTTATGGCCTCTTCTCTATGGTACCAGTTGTTGTTTTATTGAATTTGCTTCACTAATAGGATCATGATTCGACTTTGATCGTTATGGATTAGTTCCAAGATCGAGTCCTAGACAAGCGGATCTAATTTTAACAGCTGGAACAGTAACAATGAAAATGGCACCCTCTTTAGTGAGATTATATGAGCAAATGCCTAAACCAAAATATGTTATTACTTGGGAGCCTGTACAATTACAGGAGGGATGTTCAGTACCAATTCTTATAGTACTATTCAGGGAGTCGATAAGCTAATTCCCATGGATGTCTAAATGCCAGGTTGTCCACCTAAACCAGAAGCAGGTATAGATGCTATAACAAAACTTCGTAAGAAAATATCTTGAGAAATCTATGAAGATAGAATTAGATCTCAACAAGCAAATCGTTGTTTTACTACCAATCACAAGTTTCATGTTGGACAATATGAGTACTAGAAATTATGATCAAGGATTCCTTTATCAACCGCCATCTACTTAAGATCTCCCTACTGAAAACTTTTTCAAATATAAAAATTCAGTATCTTCTCACGAAGTAGTGAATTAGACATGATTCATTTGTATTGTACAGAATAACAAGTAGTAGGTGAATCTTCATAAATTTGATCGAGAATGTGAAATATTCTAGCTAAAAATGTAGGAGATAAAAAAGATGCAGGGTCGTTTGTCTGCTTGGTTAGTCAAGCATGGGCTAATTCATAGATTTTGGGCTTTGATTATCAAGGAATAGAGACTTTACAAATAAAACCCAAGGATTGGCATTCCATTGCTATAATTTTATATGTATATGGTTACAATTATCTATGCTCCCAATGTGCCTATGATGTAGCACCTGGCGGACTGTTAATAGGGTATGGTGTGGATCAACCAGAAGTGGTATGCATAAAAGTATTTGCCTCAAGGAGGAATCCTAGAATTCAGTCCTTTTTTTGGGTTGGGAAAAGTGTGGATTTTCAAGAACGAGAATCTTATGATATGCTGGATAGGATGGCCCTTACGTAAGGATTATATTGCCCCAATTTTTATGAAATACAAGATGCTCATTGAATGATAAGAAACTAATTTCCACTTGTACAATTTCAGAGATTCAAGGATTGTACTTTCGGTTTTAGATTAACCAGAATAATTCTAATTGATGTTTCATTTATATATTTCTATTAGGAATTATGGATAGGCTAACAAAAAAAGACAAAATTGGGGGTTCGTTGGGAATTCTTACATTTATTTGGAAGCTACTTATTTCGTATGAGCCAAGCCAAACCAATAGGGTGAATCAAACGCGTTCTGCATCATGAACTTTGTACTGCGCACATTACTTAGACCGGTTCTAGAAAGTCATGTTGGGACGAATTAAGAAATCGAATATGAAAGAGAAAATACAAAGAAATGAAAGAGTATCAGATTTTCTTTATTTTTATGGTATCTAAACCGAATCTTGTCTCTTTCAACTTCAACTTTTTAGTCTTTCAACCAATTAATTGAACTTTTCAAATATGTATGAAGTATTAACAGATTTTCTAAATGAAAAAAAAATAGAATTTAATTCTTTTCGATACTTTATTTAAAAAACTCTACCCATCTATTTTATAGATGGGGTATATCTCGCTACGATAGATAAACGTATGTATTATGATCTAGATTAGAAATGAATATGTATCTCAATTCATATCAATTAATTTCTAACTGAGAGACTCATACAAATAAATCATGTGCCAGGAACCAGATTTGAACTAGTGACACGAGGATTTTCAGTCCTTTGGTCTACTAACTGAGCTATCCCGACCATTCCCAATTTAACATCCCATCCTCATTTTATTAGATGACTGGGTCGGTGTCAATTAAAAGGACAAGGAGGGATTACAAAGTTTTCTCCAAGTCTTGAAATTTCTTAGATCTTCAAAAAGACAACTTTGTAAATTTCAGTATGATTAATGATATTGACTGTGAATCATTCAAATGGGAATTCCTTGCTTAGTTTGGATGTGTATTATATATCACATGTGAGAAGAGAAAATCATTTACGCTCAAATACGTGTATAGAGTGAATGAAAAAGATAAGGAATTTGGAACCGCTAATGAAAAAGGGATAGGATAAATATTTGGGGAGTCAAATAGGCTTTTTGGGGATAGAGGGACTTGAACCCTCACGATTTTAAAAGTCGACGGATTTTCCTTTTACTATAAATTTCATTGTTGCCGGTATTGACATGTAGGATGGGACTCTATCTTTATTCTCGTCCGATTAATCAGTTCTTTAAAAGATCTATCAGACTATGGAGTGAATGATTTGATCAATGAATATTCGATTCTTTCTTCAATGTGGAATCAATTCTTCCATTTTTCATATAAAAAAATACAGATAGAGATTCGAGTCGTCATTAATCATTTGATATAGTATTCAATATATACGTTTATCCTTCATCCTTTCTGAAGTTTCGATGGAAAGATTCCTCTACCAACGCAGTCCACTCCATTTGTTAGAACAGCTTCCATTGAGTCTCTGCACCTATCCTTTTTTCTTTCTGAACCTTTGTTTTGGGAAAACAGGATTTGGCTCAGGATTGCCCATTTTTATTAATTCCGGGGTTTCTCTGAATTTGAAAGTTACCACTTAGTAGGTTTCCATACCAAGGCTCAATCCAATTAAGTCCGTAGCGTCTACCAATTTCGCCATATCCCCCTTCCCTTTGTTTTGAGATTAGAATTTCATTGTCATGTCATTTTTTTTTCTTTCATTTATACTGGAACCCTTGAATTCATTAGATACTGATTACTATCTCGAAAAAAAAAAAGTATTTTCCCTTCTTTGATTTCTTCCTTATCGGAAACCCGTATTTGATTCAATCAAATTGGATTTTATCATTTCTGTATCGGCAATTCAATATAGATGGATATATACCCCATATATATGTCTCTCTTCCTGCCACTTTTCCCATGCAATTTGCAATACTTGAACGGTTATTTTTTTTCTTTCTTTCTTTTTTTGTCTTTTCTTTCCCCTTTACGAATGAAAGTGGAGGAATGTTTGTTTAGTTCTAATCAATTAAATAATTCGAACTCGAAAAAATTAATAGAATTTGAAATATAAAATAGAGAAGTGTAACAAAAAGAATTTCAAATGTCATATGAATTCAAACAAAAATGAAAAAGAAAATTTGACTATCTAAAAATATTTAATATTTACTATACTAATAATATTAGAATTGTGATAAAGAAATTGAAATTTTATATCGCTATATTAATGGTTATGTTCTAGAATATTTAATATTTATTTGAAATTCTATATTCTATCCTTTTCTATATTCTATAGATACTATAGTGTAGAGTATTGAATTCCTATGGATAGAAAGTTTCTATTATGTGGGCCTGCTTAGCTCAGAGGTTAGAACATTGCATTTGTAATGTGATGGTCATCGGTTCGATTCCGATAGCCAGCTTTTCCTTCATTTTTTATTCAATTTTTTAATGATTGATAATGTCCCTTCGAAATCAAAGAATATTGAAAAAGTGCCTTCCCCCTTTTCCAAAATCCATGAATTTTGGAAGTTATAGGAACTTCCAACTATGTCAGGAAAAGGATCCTTTCTATATATATATAATAATAGAAAGTCTGGATATTTATCCAATTTACCTCATTCTTCTATATAGTACAAGTACACTACTTCTGTAGATTTCACTTCATTTAGTTCAGTTTTAGTTTAGGTTTATTCTGTAAAATTAAAAAAAAAAATTATTCTAACTATAAAGAGTCTTTATGTCGCGTTACCAAGGACCTCGTTTCAAAAAAATATGCCACCTGGGGGCTTTACCTTACTAACTAATAAAAGGCCTAAAGTCGGAAGTGATCTTAGAAACCACTCACATTCCGGGAAAAAATCTCAATATCATATTCGTCTAGAAGAAAAACAAAATTTGTGTTTTCACTCTGGTCTTACAGAACGACAATTACTTAAATACATTCGTATCACCGAAAAAGCCAAGGGGTCAACAGGTCAAGTTTTACTACAATTACTTGAAATGCATTTGGATGTTAATCCTTTTTCGATTGGGTATGGCTTCGACTATTTCTGTAACCCGCCAATTAGTTAACCATAGACATATTTTAGTTAATGGGCATATAGTAGATATACCAAGTTAGCATTGCAAACCCCGAGATATTGTTTTGACGAAGGATGAATAAAAATCCAGAACTCTGATTCAAAATTCTTTCAACTCATCCCCTCATGAGGAATTGCCAAACCATTTGACCCTTCACCCATTCCAATATAAAGGATTAGTCAATCAAATAATAGATAGTAAATAGGTCAGTTTGAAAATAAATGAATTGCTAATCGTAGAATATTATTCTCGTCAGACCTTAACTCAAATAAAATAACAAGGGTTCAGGCAATTTTCTTCCCTTTCATCGAAGTAAATGAACCTAAGATTAAGTAAGAAAAATAGGGGTTTGATTCAGATTTTCTCCCATTTATGTATATGTATCATAGACCGAAGGATATTTTCATTTTCTTTACAAAAATTTTCCTATTTTCTAGTCAATTTGGTCAATTAAGTGAAGGTACGGAAAGAGAGGGATTCGAACCCTCGGTAAATAAAAGCTTACATAGCAGTTCCAATGCTACGCCTTGAACCACTCATCCACCGCTCCTACATAATGATTATGAACCAAAAACTGAGTGAATAGGGAGTTATTCATATTCCATTATAGATTATTGGGATAGGTACATCCATTTTAACTATACAAATAAATATCAAAAAGTTTTCATCAAAGTAAAGAAAGCTATTTCCTTCAAGGCTTCGAGATAAAGATCAAATTATTTTCTTACGAAAAATTGTTAAAAATGGGATTCATGTTTGCAAAAATTTCTCCCTTCTATTTCTAATATTTAGAATGGATTAAATCAATGAATTAGAATGAATCAACTGATTGATGGGTCTAGATTTTTTAGACTAGGGTTAATGGATACCCTACAAATTATTAAATTCCGTTCCAGTTTCGAGTTCTCAACAACAAAACCCCTCTATTTGAAATTTCTAAAGCATTTTGTATAGTTGATTGTATACCTGCTATGTACACAACAGACAAAAAAGGCGGTTATTCTATCTATTTTCATCATAGAATGATTATTCGATCTTTTTTTTTGTTTTTGTATCATAATTCAATCGAGATTTATCGAGTTAGAATCTATAACTTCAATTAAATCGAAATAGTTTCGTATACGACTACATTAGTACGAAATCGAATTGGGTTCAAATATTTTGCATTGATTCAGGAACAGAAGGCCCATAATCCTTTTTTTTTAATCAATCTATTTTTATGTTATTTCATACTATACAATTCTTTTCTC